AACGACCAAAAATCTTTTTAATATTTCTGAATTGTTGAAGTCTTTTAGTTTTTACTAAAGTTGTAGAATAGATGTTTTACGTTACACATGCAACTTGGCTTCCGTAAGTTAGATAGAATTTCTCGAATTCTATGATAGTCTAAAGTTATAGATTTTTAATTTCTATATGTACAAGGGTTGTAGCCGTGTGAAGTGTCGTCACCAATGCTTCTGAAGTTTTTGATAAGTTTTCAGCTGTTAAATTTTGAGAGTCCCATAAATGTCGCCATCGAAAGAACAAAAGTAACATTAAAGTCAGTCACCACTGTTGACCAATACATCAGCTAATACCTTTAACTTTTATTATCGATAAATACAGATTCTCATAAAATTCTATGAAATCTATTCGAGACTGAAGGAGTGAAATTTCGGACCGATATCCTACAAAAAAAACTACACGTATCACCCGTATGCTTATTTGGTGGTAAGGTCAATTATCTTTTAAATGGTTTTGCTTTGTTGAAGTCTTTTCGTTAGTGCGAATAATGAAGAATAGATGTTTTATGTTACACATGTAACTTGACTGCCTTAAGTTGGATAGAAAACGTTGAATTCTTTGATTTGTTTTTTTTGAGTTGTCGATTTCTGAATTGTGCATATGTCGCTATATTTTGTCACCCTTCTTGAGACATACGACAAAAATATGAGAATAATAAAGAAAAACTTATGAGATGAACAAACAATAAAATAAATAAATATTATTCACTCTTATTCAATAGAACAAGTATTAGTTTTTCAATTAATTTATATTTACATATGTAAATTTAGTAACAAATAGAATGCGCAGTTGAACTTATCTCAGGATATTTGTAAGTGAAAGAACTCATCTTTTCTTTTCTATAATAAGAATAAAAGACTAACATCATCATTCAAGTATACACTTGATGTTTTTGCAAATACAGAAGTTTATCTAACAAAAATAGTTATCGATGATGTCAGCATTAATTGATGATTGCATGATTATATTGGATTTTTTTCTGAAAGTGCAAACGTCAAGAGCAAGAGAAATTAACAAAAACGTATACTAACAACGGAGGAAAAAAAACATACTTCTATTACTGTTGCCATTTTTTTGTCACACATATGCGTATATGCAGTGCGTGAAATTACAATTTTTTTCTTTCTTCCTGTCTCTGTTTAGTAACGAACTGGTAAATGACAATAAAGCACGAATTGCCAAGACATGGGAGAAAAATATTTCTGAAGCTTAAACTTGAGAGGAAGAAATTTCAAAACTCTATTACTTGGTTTTTTAGTTGATGACCGCATTGACAATAATATAACTTAACCGTCTACGTCTCTAGATAAGCATGATTGATAGGCTTTATATTTCAATCAGCTTATGCTACTACTCGAGAATGTCTAAAGAGTCGAACTTCAAACGGAATTCATAGACCTTCACTGTCTACTAATTGGTTAAGGTGAACTAAGAAAACATGAGACGATCATTCAGAAATCAACAAAAAAGTCATGAATGACAGATAATCCCTCTATTTTGATTAAGTTCTGAAGGAAATTACGTGCCAACATAGTATCCTCAACGAAAGTTTCTATCGATGCCAAGAGAACTGTAGCCATATGAAATATTATCATCAATGCTTGTGAATTTTTTCGAAAAATTTTCAGCAGCCAAAGTTTGAGACTTTCATAGTTGCCACTGTTGATCAATGCATCACCTAACACTTAGCTATAATTATCGATAAATACAGATGCTCATAAAATTCTATAGAATCTATTCAATGGTGAAGGAGTAAAATCTCCGACCATATTTTATAAAAAAAAAAAGTTGAACAATGTCTCTACTTATCTATGTCACTATTATAGTCGATGTTAAATTGAGACTGGCTACTGATGATGAGAGCATAAATTCTCTTGTCAAGATACAACACTGTTGCACACGATAACTGTCAAATGCATATATCTTATAGTGAATAGCTATAATTTAACGATGAACATTTGTTAAGCTGACTTTTTGTTTGAGTTAACTCAATATTGATTGAAGAAGATATCTGACTCATGCAGTACAACATAACACAATGAGACAAGTTATCTGCTCATCTACTTTAAAATCATCGTTATCATTTAACATAAAGACTGACAACGCTATATATTCGAGAAAACTGAATCCATTAATCCAATTGGAACTTCAAAATAATAATATTGGTAATCAAACATCAGAATATCTGATCGATGTTACAATTTAATACGATGAGATCAATTTTCCATCTATCTGCCTCTATCAGATACACTATCAACATATACTGCATTTTACCTTGAATGGAATCCGATCAAATAATGACAATCAAATAATTTCAAGAAAACGAGTCTAGTTTAATATTAGAATCAATGGATCAATATGAAATGAAGATAATGGTACGCATCTCGAATAGGATTTCAGACGAAATCTGTGCGTATGTCAATTACAAATGAAAATTGAATAGTAGCCATTTTGTAAGTTACCTGAAATGACGCTAGAATTTTAATTTGACCATACGGTCGAGAGAGAGAGAGAGAAGCAGGGTGCTTTCCCTCTCCTAAACTTTTTCTTGCTTTTTGCCTTATTCTCTGAAAATTTTCTGTTATGGATAGGTAACGTTTTCAATCATGCTATGTAACAGATTGATTATGTAAAAGCACGGTTCTATTTTCAAAGACAGAAGATTAGATACATATCAACAGTATTGATTTGATCGTCAACACATCTTAAATTCATTTAACAGATGCTACAAAATACCATGTACAACATTCAACTCAATACCTAATACCTGAATGGTTTAAATTATATCGAATTTTAATAGCTTTACCAATATGATCTAATGAACGTGAACCAAGTTTTAGTACACTACAACAAATTAAGTCACAACTGGATAATAGTTTCTCATCAACAGCCTTGAAAACAGTTGTACAATTTGGTATATTAAGACCAGATGTTACAGAAGACAATTTAGACGATATTATGCAACATTTTTGTATGTTTCTGGGACAGGCAAAAGCTCGCAACTAGTAATGTAAACAGTTTTTATGTGTAGTAAAAATATATTTATTTCCATTGATTTGAAATTTCGAAGACTTTCTTCTTTAATTTTTCTCTCCGCTAAGCAGAACCAAACAAAAGCTATGACCTATAGAATAACTTTGTTACATTCTTTCTCTTGTATATAAATAAGAGACCTTTTACTATATTGTAATTTATGCTCAACGTTCTAGTTCAGTCTTGTCAACAAGTTATCCATGCAACTTGATTAGTATTTGTTGTCTGGATGCTTATCAACAATCTTAATTATCTTCGACATGTACAATATGGATACTGAATTGATTGATGATTAAGCTTTACAATTCTTGTTTGTTAAGCTTAATACTAATCAAAACAAAGAAAAACTTCCGATACAAAAAAAATGCCAATAATCTTCTCTATTACATAAAAGCTCTCATTATGAATAATTGATTTTTCTTGTTTATATTACATTTTTGTATCATTGACATAGTTTGAACTGATAAAAGTACAATAAGAAAAGAATAACCTATCAATTGATACTGTCATAATAGTTCTCTAGAACTTTCAAAAATAGATTCAGTACTTTAGGTTAGAATAGATAACAACTCAATGAAGATATACAATATTTCATTAATGTCAAGATAGCATAATAATGAACTCTTCCACCAAATAAAACAAGCAACTTTCATCAGTGATACCAATCATTATTTCAACTCTGTCGGTTGGGAAAGTTCCAATGATGCAATCGTTTTTCTTTCCATCGTTGTTCAATCAGTAATAACAGCTGTAATATTACTTAAGTTTAAGGCTGGCAGGGCGCCAAATCAATATGCGTAATACTAATTGAATTTCTTGCCTGAGTTATCGATGTGCTGTCTTACATGTATATCTTCATAATGAGAATGAGAGAAGTGTATAGCCTTCTTATATCAAGAAAAAAATATCGCCACATCGATCGGTCGAACGGAAACGACAAAAAAAATAAGAGAAAGAAATGTTGAATTTTGTCTGACCGATTAAATGGACGGACGGACAACGGCTTGATGACCTCATTGCTTGTTCATTCTAGATATTAACGTACGAAAGAATATATACGTATTAGTCAACTATTAACGTCATCAGGGGTCAAACAAAATGGGTGAAAAACGAAAAGCTCGTATGACAAATAATGAAAAGTTAGTAAAGTATATTAAATTTATGTCTTTATTTGTTCCTTTTTCTAGAACATCAAAAAAGGAAAAAAGAACTATTAATTCTGTCACACCAATCACAAGCAATGATGATGTATGTCTTTGTTTTTTGTTTTCAAATTTTATTCATCTAAATTATAGATTGAAGAACAATCATCAATGCATTCAAATAGTAGTACCACTGATAGCAATAGTCAACAACCGGTTTGAATTATTTTAAATTTATATAGATTCAGTCTCTATTTATTTTTCTTTGTTTTTAGTCAATAACAAAAGAAAATACTAATCCTGATGAAATAGAAGAATCTCAAATAATAACTCCGATTGATGTTGAAAATGTAACTAATGAAGATAATGTTGAATTAAAGCCATCAACGAATGATGATGATGATGATAATCATACAATAATTAATGAATCAAATTCAGCAACAAAATCATGGTGGTCATCATTAGTTCGTCTTTTTCATTTTCGTAATAATACAAATGAAAATAAGCATCAAATAAATGCTTTAACTGATCATCAATCATCTCCATATGTCAATGGAAATTATTTGAGTAATGTTAAATGTCGTCGATCACTTCATGATGATTCATTAGTTAATTAAATGGGGAAAAAGGCAAATTTCTTTTTTTTTTTTTGATAAACAATTTTTTTCTTCTCGATTTTGTTAGATTATATTTGTGTTCTACTTAATCAATAAATAAAGAAAGAGAAAAAAAAACGCACACACACGGAATTTATTTGACTAGTAATTAAAAATAATCATAAAAAATTTTTAAATCGTACGAAATTCATCACATATATAAGCTGGTAAACGTTGTTCGAGAACCTACATAACAATTAATATTACAAATCATTTTATTTATTGAAACTCTTACTTTAATAGGTAAATCACCATAATGAATAAACATTGTTAAAAAATCAAGCATATTAATTGCTTCAATTGGAAAATCAATTAATTTTTGACTAGAATAAAAATTATTTCGGTTTTATTATAATTCATAGTCAGAAGTACAATAGTAAAGGTGATCATCAGTACACCGATCTAGACATGCATGTATAGAACAACGGTGATTTTAGAGAAGGACTTTGTCTTTCTCGAACTCAAGAATTTCGACCGATCTACTATAAATTTGGATCCCTAGACTTCAGCCTAAGTTTATAAAATTTAGCTATTGTCTTGCATAGGCGTTCTTGATCGAAAAATCTAAATCAATTCAAAACCACCACAATAATTTTATCATAGGTTTGCCGTGTTCACCATTGCATCTCGTTTCATAACAGAGTCGGACTTTCTCAAGTACTTAACGATGAGTTTCTTAAAAATTAATTGGCGAAAGAATAGTTATTAATTTACATACCGTTGCATAAATGCTCACATCGAAATGTTTTAAAAATTTTCAGTTGAAAGTATTATTTTTATTTTCCAATTTCAAGTAAATCAAACTAATAAAATTCATTAGACTTAAGAAAAGTAAGTGGATACATGTTTTTAGAAGTTAATAAAACTATAAGAGCGCATTGAGAAGTTAATTTGAGAGAAGAATCTTTTCATAGGAGTCAATATAGTTAACACTGACAATGACTTCAAGTTTAGTTGTCTTAGTCTATTAGTCTCATCTTTTCGAATTGTGTTCGATTCATTGGCTTTTTCAAGTACTTTATCCAGCTCTGATTCATAATAAAAACTAAAAAAGAGAAAATAGACTTACGTTCCCGCTTGCTCAATATGTGATTTGATAAATTGACAAAGACATGTTAAATAATCATCAACTAAATCAGAATGATATTGTTTCGTTAATGTATAAAGTCCAATAACAAATGCTGAACAATCCATATCACGTTTGCCACTACTTGATGAACTATTACTTGCTGTTTGCATTTGATTTTTAAGATATTTAAGTGTTACCATACGTGGAACTTGACTAATTGTATATAAAACAAGTAATGGAATAAGTAAGAAATGATTTTGTGCTGAGATATAAACACGTTGAAGAACATCATTCATTCCAACTGATTCTAATAAAGGACCTAATTCATATAATAATTCATTCATTGCCTCGGGATATTCATTTTGTTGATTACTACTATTTGTATAAACTTGTTGAATATCTTGTAAAAGTGTACTAGAATAGAGAAGAAATAAATTTGAATTTTATATAAAATAGTGATCGTTTTTGGATTTATCTTCATTAACAGGTTAGATCTAGATTTCGGAATACAGAGTCCGTGTACAACTTTGTCTAGCTCAACTGGGGATGCTGAAAAGAAAAAAAAGATGATTTTTCAGTTGTCAAATTGATTAAACGAATATAATGAATTTAATAATGATTGAGTTTTATTTTTACGATGAATAATTTATCATTCAGTACAGTGAAAAACAGATGAAAAAAAGAAAAATTTGTATATCAATGAATTAATGATTCTTATAAGATCTTGAAATAGATACAATACTTTTTTGTTTCTCAAAAAACAAGATTGACAACTTTTAGAAAAATATACAATGTATAACTAATTGCTTTCATTTAAAAATCTCTATAAAAATTTATTCAAAAAATAATACAATATTTAATGAATAATAGTATATTTAACTGTCAAGATTCGACCTTTTGGCAAAAGTTTATGGCCTTCGATGATATTAATAGCGTAGATAGCTGAAATAGAGCTGTAAATAATAAGAGATTGGCTTTCTTTTCAGAAGTATAAAGTCAAAGGAAAAATAAATACTATTCATCATAATTCCAGTTGTGTTTAAGGAATAAAGGCAACCTCATGGCTCTGACCTATACTTTTCGTGAAGTATTTGTATACTAATTTTCATACCTTCAGTACTTATGGTAGATGAGATTTGGTAGGGGGAAGACTTTTATTCACTATTGCACATAAAAATAATTGTTAGACTTAACACTCAAGTCAATATTTCGTAATTCAAATTAACATACTCATTAAAAGTTTTAAGAGCATAAAAAAGATATTTTGAATCATATTTTGCTGATGCAGTTAATTCATGAGCTATTTGTTGACGTAATAATTGCATTTGTCCAACTTTCATAAGATAATTACTTAATGTTGACCAAGCACTAGCTCCTTTGGCTACTGTATTTGTATAAACTCGACTTGGTTGAGCTAAATCAAAATAAGAAAACAAAACAAAGCAAAATCTGTTTAATTATTTCACATATTTTGTTTTTATTTACCAATTATACTATCAATGGGTGTTAATTGTCTCATAAATGAATCAAGCATATCACTTGATTCTTTATGTTGAAAAACAGTTTGTATTGTTCCTGTAAGTAATTGAAGTTCTTTAACAATCATAAATGATAATAAACGATCAAGTCCACTTAATCCAAATGATCCAACAGCACGATGTAATTTTCGAAAAAGTAATATATCAACAATTGTCTGTTTTGTTCGTACATCATACCATGTATTACGTTGTTCAGCATAAAATGTAAAACGTGAATCAGTAACACGAAGAATTTCTCGTACAAGACGACCCATAAAATTAATTGAACCATCACCTAATGGTGGAATATGTGGAATTGGAATATGACGAGATTGAAATGTAGATTGAAAATCATAAATCTTAAAAGACACAAAAAAAAACAACTTAAAAGTTTATTTTAGTTTTGTCTTATTACTTTTTGTTTAAGAAAACTATTTGATTCTTGTTCAACATTATAATTTATTATTCTTGATACTTCTTCTTGCCAAATTTTTAATCCATACATTCCAACATAATCTTGTACATATTCAAATGAACGACGAAAACCATCCATTTGATTTCCTAGTGCATCTAATTTAGCTATTAACTCACTATTCTAAAATAAAAATCAACAAAATTTTCATTTTCAAATAAGAGGTTCTCTTCTTTTACGATCATTTTTAGTTTTCGAAGAAGTTGAAATAAAGTTTCCGGATTATCGCTAGTTTTCTCTAGGACTGTACCTGGCCACATTACGATTCTCATAAAAATTTATCTGATTGAGCTGAAAATTTTTTTTGAAGATACTTTAGACTTTATTTTATAGATGTTTCAGAGATTTTCTAAAAATCTCGCTTTCATTTTCTTTTTTCTATGCAAGAAATATGTAAAGACCGGCATCCAAAAGCACGGTATTGGCATTCTGAACTCTATAAATCCGAATTAGAGCCCTGCAGGATGCAGGTAACCTGCCCTGCCCTGCCCTGCCCTGACAGGGCAGGACAGGGCAGGCTGCAAAAATAGCAGGGCAGGGCAGGGCCAGGTTATGAAATTTTTACAGGGCAGGTTACAGGTTGTCCATATCGTAACCTGTTAACCTGAGATTAATTTTGAACAACCGACATTTCCGGTATCTTTNCTGCGGGAGATGCCGCATCTCGCGCGAGAGATGCGAGTGTGGGTGTGGGGGATGCATCTCTCTAAAGGAGATCTTACATCTCCAGTGGTGAATGACCTCATCTCCCGAGTGTGGGTGCCGCGTCTCCCGCTGGAGATGCGGCATCTCCCGCGGGATATGCGGTGGCATCTCCAAAATCTTGGATATGTGACACTACTCTTTAAAAATATCTTATCTTATGTTATTCTTTGTGGTTATATAAACCTTATTATTTCTTCATCATAACTATCATCAACAATGTCACAAGTTGAATTCGATAAAGCTGCTGAAGGCATGAAAGCTTTAAGTAAAAATCTATCTGATGATGAATTACTTAAACTCTATGATCTTTATGAACATAATTGAATAAGATATTCAATTGAAAATGCATGATGTTTTGTTTTTAATCATTTTATAGAAGCAACTATTGATGATAACAATATCAGTAAACCAAGAATGATTGATTTTAAAGGCAAAAACTAAAGAAACTGCTCAACAAGAATATGTTGCTTTGATTCGAGAGTTTCACGCTAAATAACAAAAGAAAAACAAACGAATAATTTTTTTTTTATATTGCTTTTCTTCTGTTCGACTTAATAATCAATAGATTTCATTTAAATATATCTTCAACTTTATTTTTATTCTTTACAAAAAAGCTATATTATTTTTTTTTTACAACAAAGACAAGATTTGAACAATTACTGTTTAAAAAAATATTCACAACAAGAAACAAAACAAAAAAAAAGCGATACAGATCAAACGGATGATAATTCAGGCTTCGATTGATTGATATTTTTTAATGATGACGATAATAATGAACTTTTGATCATTGTTTTTGTTTCTTGTTCAATATCAATCAATGATGAATTATTTAATTGATTTAATGATGATGATGGTGATGGATGTGCTGTTGGTGTATATTGTTGTTGTTGAAAACGTTGTCCTAATTTTGTTAAATTTTTTAAACGACCTTTTATTTGTTTATAACGACAACATAATAAACAAGGTGCAGTTAATATTAAAAATGGTATAGCAATAAGAAGTAAAAGAATTAAACCAATAAATATACCAACTATTGTAAGACGATGAAGAAATAATGATGCACGAGAATGACCAAGTCTAAAGAATAAACATATTTTAAGTCAAAAAAAAAAGAAGCAATTGCTAACACAATCTCTGTCAGATTAAAATGTGAAACATGATGCAGTTGCTATTGCTAATTACAGAAAGATTAATTTATTCTATTTATTTTGAGACAGTGTTCTTCAGGACTGTCTGTTTTAAGTGTATCCCCACTCTTTCCGGATGTTAAAATCAAAATGTTTTTGATTTTTGATTTCTTCATCGTTAATATAGTTTCGAAGTGTCGTCTATCAAACGCTATATAAATGAGAGATCTTCGTTGTTGGTTAGTACTTTTATTAAATCGAACTCTGGAAACCAGCACTACAATGATTCTTTGTATGCAAAATTTTCCTAATGATAATGATTATTTCTCATTTCACAGATGCTGAGAGCATGGCTCATGCACCTCTTACACCGACAGTTTTTCATTACATTTGTTAGAAAAAAAGGATTTTATAGATGGAGAAAATTTTTTTCGTTTCTCTAGAAATCAATTTTTACATAAGAAAAAGTGCAGAATCGCCTCCGTTTTTTTTTCGACATAGTTCATTCGATCAAACGGAAACTTTTTTTTCACAGGTACTGAGCACTCTTTCGGATGTCTACTTTTTTGTTTTGAAAAATACTGCATCATTGATTTTTGGAAGATTTTACAAAAAAAAACCTCTGGTAAAAGAACACGTGTGTTTTTAGAGGTACGCTCAGTATTGTGATCTTTTTATTAAAGGGGAGGAGATTCAACAAAGTAGGCGCTCAAAACAGTGCTTAGTATCTGTAAAAAAAACTTGATCTCTATCGAACCTATTATGGTTGAGAAAGCGAGGTGATATTTAGCCTTTGCGACCCACATATTTCCTAGAAGTATTGGAGAATTTGGTGTCAATGACAACTTTTACTCTACTCCCTAAGATTTATCGCTCTGAAAGATTGAAATATTTTTGATGAGCCGCTATTCAGAAACTGCAGAAAGTCCTCTCAACCCTCCAGAAATAAAATAAGAAAGTAGCTCATATAAAGGAGGACTACAAAAGTCAACAATCAGTTTTTGATTGCAAATAACTTTCAATAGAAACAAAAAATAGAGTTGCACTTTTTATCGTCAAAAAAAATGGAGATTTAAGGGCATCGAACCATAAAAGAAACATAATTTTCAAAAACATTTTAAGGAATGCTTTGAAAAGCCAAGGTTTTCAGAAAATCGAGATTTTCAAAGTTTTCGTTGCACATTAAATTTTGAGTACATCAGTTCATTTAATCTTGGTTGTTCAAAAACCACTCAAAAGATTATGAATATTATATTTCTTATATGGTTTGGTGCCCCACAAGTATCTTTTTTTCAACGGTGAAAATCACATCTCTCTGTCTTGTTTCTATCAAGACACTATTGATACACCGTCTGTGAAGCGAGAAGGAAACTTTTACTCCTATGTTTCAAAATTCCAATTTAGATCATATCATACCTATTTCGACAAGGTCCACTTTCGAAGTGTAATAAGAAAAAATCATTCTAAAAACAAACAATTATATCATAATAAATAACACATACAGAATATAAGTTTTATATATACATCAAGTGATTTTAAACAATACCAACAAAAAATATGTTTACAATTAACACACATTATTTGAGCACACCCAGCAATCCATTCTAATGGAAAACGACATCGTGGGCAACGTTTTATATTTGAATCAGCTTCCATTTCATATGGTGTACTATACGAAATTCAAAACAAAAAAGAATTATCTATGATCTTTTATTTTAATTTATTTCAATATTTACAGTAAATCGGAACAATGTTCATTTGGATGCCATTGTGAACGACATTTTAAACAAAATGTTGTGTTACACTAGAATATTAAAATGGATAAATATGAATATAAAATTTATTTTTTTTACCTTTGTACAAGTCATTGAATGTTCTTTATGAATTTTTCTTTCATCAACTATCGACAGTACTTCATCACAATCAACATGTGGACAAAAGAGTCGATGAGGATCATTTGTCACCTCTAGATTAATTTATTAAATTTAATTTAAAAGAAACCGCAAAAGAAAGAAAAACAAGGATACCATGATCAAGTAATAATTTATTATAAAGTTGATATTGTGCATCAGTCAGCAAAGAATGAAGCTAAGAATAAAAGACAATATGAATATTTTTATATGAAAAAAAAAATTAATTAAAATACTTCATTCAACGATAGTCGATTATTGCACTCGCCATTGGGACATCGAATTGGCACCGATCTGAAGAAAATAGATTATATATATATAAATCAATTAAATTTACATAAGATATTAATTTTTTTTTCTAAATAAATCAATAAATTAACTTACGCTGTATTTATTTGACTATTACAATACTGACGCACACACTAAAATAGAAAAAACAAAAACTTATAGAAATTTATTTTTTTTATAAGCTACAACCAAAACGCACCTCTTTACAAAATTGGCAATGGCATGATTCGATTTCATAAACATTTGTTTTATCATCGATATCATTACAACATATTGAACATTGAAATATATGATCATCGCATAATTTCACTCTTTCTTCAACCATTCTTCTTATTTTTCATCGAAAAATAAAACGTAAATTAATCATTTTTTTTCGTTTTCTTAAACATAAAACACAAGCTGTAATTTTTATATGCATATATTTCTTGTTTCTTTTAATAAACAAAACACACACATACATGAACACATACACAAAAAAAAAAAGAAAACAGACATTCACATGAATACTGTTAGAGCACAAAAAAAAGACATCAGTAACAGTTTACATGTGCTCGACTATGTTTATAATCAACATATATGTTCAAAAAATAATAAACGGCTAAATCAAGAATAGTTCTTTTTCTTTCGGATTAAAAGTCCGTACATGAATGCAAACAAAAGGACTAAAGTACTAAACAAAAAAGAAAAGAAAATCATAGATGACAATTTCACGCTTGTTTAATCTTTTGTTTCCGACACAAAACAAAAAATCACTACCAAGAATAATATATATATAGAAATATATACATAGATATATATGGATATTGGCCGGAATAATAAAAAGCCAGCTAAGAAAATATCACACAATTAACATAAAGGAAGAAATTAACGTGCAAAAAAATCTATTTTGTCTGTGGTTTAATCTGTTGTTGAAATTATCTTTAAAAAACAAACACAAAAAGAGGAAGTATTTCCTTAGAATATTTTATTAAAATTTTACCTCAGTAGTATTTTTGTTCATGGTTATGTCATTTTGTTCTGGTAAATTTGTATCTATAGTTTGAAGATTATCGTTCTAAAATCGAATCATATAATTATTTATTTATTAATTTAAAAACAAAATCACAAACTTTAACTTCATCAGCATTTATTTCAGTTGTAACCTTGTCTTCATTTGGTTTTTTATTTTCTTCATCATTTATTTGCATTTGTTCAACAGGAACAGTTACATCTTCATTCTCGGTCTTTTCA